ATACCCTGCGAGACCTCCTGAAGGAGTTTTCCAAGATCCTCAACGATCCAGCCGCCGCCTTGTCCATGGAAGCGTCCATCGGTGAAGCCGCATTTACGCAGGGCAAGATGTTCGAAACTTGACACATGGTTAACACTCTCATGAAGCTGTTGCGGGGCAATCTTCCAAAATGGCTTCAGATCCTCGTTGATCATGTCAAAATCATCGATGAGAATGGAGTTTTTAGATTTTGCATACGCGAACCATTGGGCGAACCCGGGAGGTGGAGGCCGCGAGTATCTTCTACGATACTCAGTCTCAGCGGATTCGAGTGTCTTTGATTGCTTATCGACAAGATGTCTGAAACCATCCTGAGCTTTTCGGACAAGTAGTTCGACTGGATGATGTGAGATATTGTCAGACGGTCCAGGCCAGTTCGCGCCAGGCAAGGAAATTATATCCTGGCTTAGTGGAGTATGCTGGACAAATGATGAAACCGGCCATAGGGCGAAGGCGACTAGTAGCCCGCGGCCTTTTTCCGTTTTCGGTATGAAGTCTATTGTTTGGTAAAGATTCATAATTGCAATAGTTGTACGAGTGAAGGTTTGAGCCACGCCTAATATGCCGGCTGAAGCTGGGTCTAAAGAGCTGGCTGACGCAGCAATATAAGCCCAGATGGTAGGCGCGATCTCCCATGGGGTCTCTTGTGTCTGGATATGTTAGCATGGATGTAAAACGATTCAGAATTTCGGTAAGTCATACTAGCCAGAAAATAATGATCCAATGAGTAGCCTTAAGACCGCCAGCCAACGTTGCATTAGTTATGTCGAGTGTGCTTCCAGGCCATGTAAACACCATGATGACAGAAACGGCTATAAGCAATCCGGTGGTGCGCGATGCGATGGAAAAGATGACACGCGGGGTCTCCAATCGTTCTTTTCCATCAATCTGGTCATTTCCGGCGCCGAAAATGTGGATCAGAGACGCGTATGTTCCCACGAAGCCAAGAGTAATTGGAATAGCGGAAGCTAGCGTCTTTGTATCGAGATTAGGGACAAGTGATACGAAAACGATCATTCCTATTGTGAATGTAAACCACGAATATTGAATGTGTCTGGGTAGCGATGCGTGGAGGCGTGCCACCAATGAAGTCGGACGACGTGCGAGAAGTGCAAAGGCGACTACAGGCTTCAAAGACTACATTAGCAGGCTTCAGTATGTAAGCAAGTATCTGCTCACAGTAATCCATATGGAATCGACAAAGGAAGAAGATATTGCCGTGATGGATATAGAAGATGCGGCGGTCCAATACAGATATTTGAGTGTCGCCGTAGAGGCAACATTGTTGCTTTCGCAGTTTTCTGAACCAAGGCGCTGAAGAATTCCAAAGGACGCGATGACCAGTGCCCAACATATTAATTCGGCAAGCACTGGGGTGTACCCAATATGGGAACGAGGGCTGATTGCAGCTGTTAAGATTGCAGCTGTTAAGATTGCAGCTGTTGTCGCAGCGGTGCAATAACCGATACTTGTGAAGTCTTTCAACCCCATTGCAGAGCCGAAAGTAAGTCAATATGTGACAAGAAAAAGAGAGTGAGATGAATTGAGAAATCCTGAAGATGTCAAGACCTGCCCGCATACCCTTTTGGAAACAGCGGCTTTCTTGTATATAATCAGGATGTGAATTGAACGCCACGTTCCAGCATGGCTAGGGTGCGAGGGTGGTGGGATGTAGGATTCAGCGCTTAAGTACCTACTGGGCGCTTAACTGTAATCCCGGCGCCCCGAACACGCTTTCGCCCTCGAACTCCACCATGGGATTCATTTGCGTACTCTGCTTATGTCATCAGCAAAGTCTACAGTCTTTAAGCAGAATCATCAAATAAAGTATGGAGCTGCTCAAGCTTCCATGTCCTGTTTCGAAGGTTATGGAGCAGGCTTCATGCAGGGGCGTCACTTACATCACATCCGTAGTAGCCGAATGCGTCAAGGGACTCAGTGCAATCTTAAGCACGTACCTCGTTTATTGCGGCACAGCAACAAGGCGGTTGTGCTCTTCCGTGCTGTCCACTGTCGATTCCTAGACTACTGTAAAACTGATTTGCCCAAGTCATACCCTCATTTACTTGAGCTATCTGTTTGACCGTCATCAAATGTATTAGTGCCTGGGTTCTCTCTACTTTGGTTTTTCTTCTCACGCACATTCTTATCCCTATCTGTTCAATGAAGGTTCGGCACTTACGCCAGCTCCTTATCACCGGCTCGCTGCTGCAAACGTTGCCATTCGTGTTCGCCGCGCAATACATCTCTGGTCCATGGAGCACACAATACTACGGCCCGGATGGCCCCTGGCAAGCAGTAAAAGTTACTGTAGGCGGTACCAGTCCTGACATTCTCCTGATCAACGAGGATCACCGGCAGCTAGACCTTCTACCTGGTGGTGAATGGAACAGCAAAATTCTCACTTCGAAGGCATGCAAGCCATACAAGAACTCAAGGTGTGGCAAAGGAGGAACTTGGGATCCCGACTTTCCTCCAAGCGTCAGTGCTTCTGGAGATTGGATGGATGAAGCCTCTAAGGTGAATTCCAGTGGACAAGGGATACTTCTCCAAGCTTCAACGGTGGAGAGCTTCTCGTATTGGAACTCGAGTTTGGTCTTGATTGAAGACATTGTGATCAAAAACCCTGACGGGAGCGTACGTGGACCGGAGCTAGGATCGTTCGCGTTAGGAGGACCAGAACAGTCGCAAAAGTTCGCCACCGATTCGACCTTTGCCAATGCACCGATGGTTGGCTTCAGCTATGCAGGCGCTGCATACAATCGTAGTGCTACAAGATCATTCTCGTACGGCTTGCAGATTGGATCAGCGTTTCATAATTACCCGGGCTCTTTGCTCATCGGTGGTTACGACAAGGGGAGACTTGTAGGATCATACACATCATTCAACAAAGCTCCACTCCTACTAGACGTTAGCATTGGAGTCGCTACTGGTGGCTCGCCATTCAGCTTCAAAGAGAAGCATAATCTGTTACTGAGTAACAAGACTCAGGTTACAACACTTTTTGCTCTACCAGATCCACGACAAACATACATCCATCTCCCTGGCAAAACCTGCGAAGAGATTGCGAAATACTTACCCATCAAATTCGACGACACATTGAGATATTGGCTGTGGAATACGGCAGATCCAGCCTATCGAACCATTGTAACTTCTCCGGCATATCTTGGCTTCACTTTTCCTCCGGCTTACGGTGCATCAAACAACGTAACCATCAAAGTACCGTTCAGTCTTCTAAATCTAACGCTCGATACTCCTATAGCAGAGAAGCCGGTAGCATATTTCCCCTGCCAGAGCTACGAGCCATCGTCCAAAGACACTCCATACATACTTGGTCGCGCTTTTCTTCAAGCAGCCTTCATAGGTCGGAACTGGAATCGCGAAGTGTCTTGGTTGGGCCAGGCTCCCGGCCCCGGTATTTCGAAGAACGGCCTTGGGAATGTCATGTTAAATATCGATGATGCCGATATAGACCTACCGGATGTGTATACGAACGAAACTCTTTTCACGGAGAGTTGGGCTAGCTATTGGACGCCACTTCCAGAGAAGGAAGACAAACCAATCTCTTCCACACCTATTCCATCTACCACTCCAGATCCAATATCCTCCACAACAGGACTCAGCACAGGAGCAAAAGTAGGAATTGGCCTGGGCGCAGCTGCAGTAGCCCTTCTCGGTGCCGGTGTAGTTCTCCTCTTCCTTCGCCATCGTCGCCACACACAGCAGAATGCCACGGTCAACAACCTGCCCGCTTACTCCGAAGAGCGCAAGACCTCCCCTGCTGAACTTGATCAACAAGTGCCAGAAATGCAGGCCGATAAAAACTACTGGACTTATGAGTTGGCAACTCCTACACCACAACTTGGATCCACAACACCCAGGCGAGCAACGTATTCGGACGACTTCGTCTATACAAGTCAGTCAGAACCGCTGCTGATACCCTCTTCACCCCCATTGCGATCCAGATTTGGAGGATAGGTTCGGAAGGTCTTCCTGCCAACCAAAGTAACAAGATTATGTAATGAATGAGCGCGCTTTTGTCCACGTAATATGTAGATTCCTATATCCCTAAACTATGTTCAAGTAAAATGCAGAATTGTTTGATTGCACATCTTACGAGATGTCTCAAGACTATTTTTGCTAAAATCAATATGTGGCACTAGCTATGAGCTACTCTTTAAGTTTCTTATGGGAACGACATTCGAGATGAAAGCATCGAAAAGGAAAAGAAAAAGGAGAATGAAAGTAACACTGCATGACTGAAACTCTCCTCCATATTCGAATGTTCATCGATGCACCCACTCAATTTTATTTTCCTGATGAGGCCGCTATTCAGGGGATTTTTTCTTCCGAAGCTGGCAGGTTGAGATAGTAATACCTGTGGTGGTGGCGGCGGCGGCATCAGCCGTGGATAGGTAAAGTACAAGATACTTCCATGTACGTACGGATCTGAATCACCTAATAACCCCATTGATGTTGATTAGAGGCTTGCTGTGAGGGGCTAGAGCTTGGAGAGAACGTGGGAGTACTAGAGTCAAGCGCATTAAATAGGTTATCGTGCGCCATCCTGCTCCTCAGGCTAACTGCAGTTTGATACTTCACATATCATACTACTACATGATTAGTACATCTCGCTTCAGCCTTAGGATTCGTGTAAGATGATTCTTTTTCTACTTTCCTAAAAATTGAATGCTACTGCGCCTATACATCTAAGATCTCCCTACCTTCAAAACCAAAAGAAATGCACGATCTCCGAAGAACATCTTAGTATCGAAAACAATTCCTTTTCGGTCCATGTGCCATATTAGTAAGAAGCTTTCTTGAAATTTCCTTCTTGATTAACTAGTGCATCTTTTCTGAAGAAAATACCTGTATCCAGTCACTTTAGACATAGCCTGTATAGCTAATGCACAAATTATCATACTCAAAAGAAATATATACAAGAAAAGAACCCGTTCGACCTAGTACGAGCTCGGCACCAAACTATTAGCCCAGTCCTCCACATTCTTAAACTGCGACTCGACATCATCTGGTATCCCATTCCCATTCGTATCCACCCACTTCTTTCCTCCATCAATAGTTCCTGGTCCATTCATCGGAGCAGCATTCTCATCGCTAATCAACTGTCCCAGCTTACCATAACTCTTCAACTCAGTAACGAGCCGTTGATCAACCGAATCACGAACCTTACTCGCACCCGCACCCTTCTCCGCAAGTGCGAGCGCATCATTTGCCGACAAGATCTTTGCGGGCGCCGGATACGCAAACTTTGTTGTTTTGATGTTCAAGCCACCGTAGTTTTCCTTGGTGACACCCAGCTCGTTTCCATTCAGCACACCATCTTTGCCGGAATCAACAAAGTTGCCCTGGACGAATCCGTCAAATAAATCGTTGCCCCGCGTGAAAGCGGGGACGCTTGTGCTGGGCCCGCTGATGAAGTAATTCCCGACAATATTTGCCTCGCTCCTTTCGCTCGAATCACCAGCGATATAACCACCTCCCCCACCCCAATTGTACACCACATTGTTGGTGAAATCATTAGTACCCTTGACTTTGGGGTTTCGTGTCTTGTTGTCAATGTACAAGTTGCGGAATAGACTGATGCCATTGCCGAGAGCAGTCTGCATCAAGCCACCGCACGAATGCGTTTCCAGACCCTCGGCGATGATGCTGTTTTGCACGGTAATGTTTCCGACTTCAGAGCCTGAGATGGAGAAGGTCTCGTCGCGGCCCCACGAGACAGAAACGTGATCGAAAATCATGTTGTGTCCTTCTGCTATGGTGATAGCGTCTTTACCACTAGCACCCTTCTTGCCCATGCGGATACGAATATAGCGTACAATAGCGTCGTCGGCGTTGCTGAAGCTCCAGCCATTTCCATAGACTGTTATTCCGGCACCGGGGGCGGTTTGTCCTAGGATGCTCACGCGTTTGGATACGACCATACGATCAGTGATGGTAATGAGGCCACCCACCGAAAATACGACTATCCGGTCCGGTTTGGACACGGCGTCTCGTAGAGACCCAGGGCCAGAATCGTCTAGATTCGTGACGACATAGACGGAGCCGCCTCGCCCACCAACAGCGTTGCGGCCAAACCCTTCAGCACCGGGAAAAGCAAGAGCGGAAGCCGAAGTGGCTAATAGAGGAAGAAGAGCAAGAAAGTGCATGGTTGTAGATGCAAGGGTACCGGGTGCCTGAGTTATCGGCCAAGGAAGGGCTTTTGACAGTGGGTGAATTGACATCAACTGCTGGATAATGCGGAGCATGAAATTGCCGATCCTTCATGTCCCTTCGTGTTCATGTTTCTGGGGGCGCAGTTCTATGGCTCGTTTAGGGGTAGTTAATCGTACTGGCCTGTTGATCCTTTAATTTACCCCAGATTCACGCTACTAATCGACACGGACAATTAACAGCTCATTCCGCCAATCAACTCAAGGGACGATTCAGGTGGCAGAAACAACCTAAGGAGCATACATGGGTAGAACATTTACACAGTAGGAGACGCGGGATGGTAAGCACAATATATGACGCATTTTTGTAGATGCATCTGTGAACTCGGCTTTTGAGACAAATGCGGTAAAGTCAGATTGTACTGCCGGGCCCTTCCCGATCTGTGCATACTTGAGTCAGTTTTACCATCTCCGACAATTCTACCAGCATCGACAAGGTCAAGGACAAGACCCACAAGCACATAAATGCACCTGAAATGGCATTCATGCCTACCGCTTCAAGCTAACATCTCATTTCTCGTAGTGAGTATACTAAAACAGTATCAAGTCTTGCTCGCTCTCAATTGGTATTGTTCAGTTCCAAAGGGCAATAAGACGAATATCTGCTACCCTAAGAATGCGGCAACAGAAACACTACTCAAGAGTTCAACGTAAGCGTCCGGGTAGTCTTCAATCCGGGACCTATCGGATACAACACCAGTTTAATTACAAGTTGGTGGTAACATATTTTGGGCCTGATGCTGAGAATTCTCCGCATGCTGAATGGCAGTGGTGTGGTTCGAGTTAAGAAGTGACGCACTAGTGCGCGTGTTGAAAAGAACTTTAGCTATCGTGCGTAACGACAGGAAATCCGCTTTCTGACTCCGTAAATTCATCCAGTCATGCTATCCAAAGCCAGTACCAGTGCTTAAAGGAAGAGATTTTGAGGACACTGATGCTCATCTCCCTTTGGGTTGCACTGAACTAGTTAGTCCACGCAAACTACTGTAGATTGCTCTCCTGGCGTAAGTTGTGTGAGTTTAAGCTCTTAACCAAAATCGCCCCTGCCTGAAGTAGAGGGCCTACCCAGTATCTTATGTAGCCCCTCGTAACCTTGATTAGAGGCTGAAGGCCCGCTTGGGCTTTTCCGCTCGGTAGCTATGTCTGCAGACTCGTGGTTTTGGGTGGTATGAGTTCCTCCAAAGTCACAACCGACAGATAATATGTCCTCTTGACAACAGCTCCAAACTATAGTTCCGTCTTCTTGCTTGACTTTCCTCCCTGGATGGTATATACAGGGCTCGGAATCGCTTGAGAACGACTCATGGCACTTGCTACAAGTCTTGGTCACATTTGGAGTCGCTCCCTGGACTTGGTCTGCTGGCTGAGTTACAGTAGCTGCATTTGAGGTGATATTGGGAGAGGGCGAGCCTCCAGTCAAGTGATGTAACGGCGGCCGCATTGCAGCTGGACGCGCTGCTTTCTGCGACGAAGGACCAGGACGACGTAATTCACTATCAGAACTAGGAGTTGAAGGCCTGTGTGGCTCGCGTTTTATTCGCGGTATTGAATGGGAGCCGTAGGGATGTTGTCTGGTATAACTTGTCTGGTTCCCTTGAGAAGTGTACCGACCAGAACTGGATGTGGTATGCATAGCTTCATATGCAGCATTTCGGTCGATTTCCATTCGGTGTTGGTTAATCATGTTTCGTGCAGAGGCCGAGTGAGGTGCTAGACCCCGCACAAGCGCGCCAGAGAATGCAGGCGAGATTTGACAAAGCTCTATCAATACTGTTTGCAATGCATATGGGCTGACGGTTGAAATTATCGACTGAATGTGACTGGGATTGATCGGCCGGGCTTGCTGTGGAGCTACAAGATTCCGGCTAGAAGTGGCTGATTGGCCAAAACTCATTGTGCCACGTGATGGTTGGGCAGATGCAGTCTGGATGCGCGATGGCTGACCCGGGTCCGATTTAATTCGTGGAACATGATCAGACTCCTGTTTAACGCGTGGTGTGTTGTAGGTCGGTCCAAAGGATAGATGAGATTGCTGCGGAGGCGCGCGTATTTGTTCTCTCGTGGGTGATGGAGGCCAAGACTCTGGCTCGGGTGAGGAAAGTGTGAGGTCGATTGTATCAGTTTCCGGCCCGTTCCTTTGTGATTGCGACATAGCTAAGTAGGTAAGAATAGAGATGACCAAAAAAGGCCAATTATAACACGACGTGTTGAAAGTCGATGCGGGTGTTTTGCTGCCATGTCATGCTTCGATGGGATGTTTCGGAGCTGGCATGGCCGAAAGCCGATAGGGAGTTAGTGTGGCCCGATCGGGTCTAGTATTGTATGAATCCACTACTAATGTACTTAGTTTGAAGTAGATTCAAGGGCCACCAAGTACGGAGAGAGATCTAACCAGATCTAGTAGATTGGGCTGCTCAGCATACGGCACAAATGCTGGATCAGGGCGTGCATGATCACAAATAACTGGATTGAAAAGGAGTTCTTTGTACCGCTTTAAGTCTTACTCAAAACTTGGGTACACAAAGCAACACGTATGCGTAGCGCTTTGTGCACGAGTGTAGCGCTCAAGTATAGATGGCTAGTCGCAGCGTCTCACAACCGTCCTCGTTGAGGCACCTTGCTGGAAGCCGTCCACTGTCTTATTGTGTAGTCCAAGATACAGTCACGTGAGAGCGTCTAGCAAGTCTATATCCACCGCCGCGTCACTCTTTGCGGTCATGCGTCAAGCCACACATACTACGGCCAAGCGCTGTTTGGCAAGCAACCCGAGATATGAGTCGGGCTTAACATGAATAGAGTATATGCGGGGTGAACCGCAAAATCTCCGGTAACCCGCCCAAGTCGTCCAAGATTTTCCATTGTGGAAAAACAATACCAGGGTGGCAAGGCGCACGACCCACACACGCAGCCTTGGACATACGCGGGTGACAACCAGGAACACGGGCCGGGTCTCTCTTGTATAGCGCCGAAACAGACATACTTACTGAAACGAATTAGCAGGTTGTATCAATGGACCAATGGGCTTTGAAAGACTCCAGGGGTGGAAAGCATACATATGTGCGTCCATATGCCCTTAGTTACCGAGCACCTTCACCTCTCCTTTCTTCCTATTCATAATGCATCCGACTTTGGTATTCTTCCTTTCGCTTGTCGCTGCCACTGCTGCAGCGCCTGCTGAAAATGTGCTTCGACGTGCGAGTTTTGACCGCACGTCAGCCCCTGCCGGTTGTCTGACCGTAGGTGGAAGCGGCAAATACAAAACTGTACAGTCTGCAGTCAACGCCCTCGACAAGTCCACCTCGAAGGCTCAGTGCATATTCATCGCCAAAGGCACCTACACAGAACAGGTCTACATCCAGCAACTCAATTCGCCTTTGACAATCTACGGCGAGACCAAAGATACTAGATCTTACAGCGGAAATACTGTAACCATCACCCAGCGCAAGAGCCAAAACGATACTCCTTCCAACGACGAGACTGCCACACTTCGTGCGCACACTCCCAATCTAAAAGTCTACAATATCAATCTCGTCAACACCCGTGGCCAGGGATCCCAAGCGCTTGCTGTGAGCGCATGGGCTGACAAGCAAGGCTACTACGGGTGCAGTTTCAAAGGCTACCAAGACACCGTGTTGGCCCAGCTCGGCAATCAAGTTTATGCGAAATCCTACATTGAAGGTGCCACCGACTTCATCTTTGGCCAACAAGCTAGGGCATGGTTTGATGGCTGTGATATCGGTGTTCTCGGCGCTCAAGTCGGCTGGATTACTGCCAGCGGTCGCGCAGCCGACTCGAACCCGTCGTACTATGTCTTCAACAAGTCCAAGGTATCTCCCGCTGTTGGAGCTACCGTCTCATCCGGCGTCTACTACCTTGGTCGTCCATGGGGAAACTACGCTCGTGTTGTGTTCCAGCACACCGACCTCAGCAACGTCATCAATCCCCAGGGCTGGGCTGCCTGGAACACCGGCGACGCGAGAACTGATCATGTTCTTTTTGGCGAATACCAAAACACCGGCGCAGGTGCCTCGGGTAAAAGATCATTCGGGCAGACTCTCAAAGCTGCTCTCAGCATTACCGATATATTGGGAAGCAACTATAAGGACTGGGTTGATGTGTCGTACCTGTCTTAGGTCAGTGCGGTAGAATAAAGCTTCGGTCGACGGTGACTTGGCTAAGGGCGGGCGGGTACTTAAGCTTATTTCGATGACAGCATTCTCGAATTGGATGATACCCAGCTGTATGTCAGTGCACGCTAGTCTGCCCAACAGTTTCCACACTCATGGTATTACCGAAGAAATACAGAAAGGACATGAATAAATGTAGATCGTAATTCACAATGACATGCTACATCAAGCCTGTGTCAGCTCAGCATCCACAACGTGAGGTAGTCGCATGTCTGGTGAGGGCTTCGGACTAATCTGGAGCGTCCATGCACTCGCTTTTGGTTCAACGGAATATCCGGATCAAAATAGCTCCCAATCAAAACAAAGCTATCATTGGCAACTAGCCGCATTCACCACCACATAACGAAAAACATTATTTTATATGCAAGAGTATCGGAGTTTTACCGATAGAAGAATACACTATAAGGAAACATCACAATATTCTATAATACTAGTATTCAGATATATGTCTTTGGCATCGCGCTGTTTTCGTGGGTGTACTTTTTATCCAAGTATTTCGTCAGACTAAGAGGGCTCGACCCACTTTGTGGGTCACGCGGCCAGTAAGAATTGACTTTTCGCTCCGTTGAAAGCAACCAGAACAACAGCTCTCTTAAAGAGCAGTTTGCACTCCAACTTGGCGTGATATAGTCTTACCATCCTTGAAGGGATACCCAGTAAACAATGTCATACGGCACGATACAAGAAGCGCCTCCAGCGACGGGACGTGCTCAGGTGCGCTTTGCTCCAGGCACATTACCAGCGGCTGCA